CTTTAGAACAGGAAAATAATCGTTTACATCAAGGTATACCTGTCATCTTTGTTTCGATCCTATTAGGAAACCTTCTGGGTTCTCCGAATCCACATACAGAGCTCACGAAAACCTGAAACTCGAAGGTAGAGCCTGGAACTAAACCTTTCATGGTGTAAGAGGTGGAACTGCCAACTTCTTGGACACCTTCCTCTCTGAAGCTTTCATTGTAAAGCTTTGTTCCGAGATACTTTACCTTAAGAGACAAACAGTAATCAAATAAAACACTACTTAACTACTAAGATGAGTCTAACGATCAAAGGTAAATAATAACAGTTTACTTTTGACAACCCTTATCAATTAGCATCTAAGTTCTCTTAACAACATCACCTCTGAATCAAAGATTAAGGTCACGAGAATAAAGGAAATGATCACCAACTAAAGAAACTCTTTACTGTTAAGTTCCATAGTAAATGTATAGAGAACGGTATGGAGAATATGCAAACTGATGTTAGGGCATAAGGAGTTCGGAGGAAATCTCTGCAAATACAAAGAAACCCTTCATCCACATCGACAAAAAAAAGCTATCACCTTGAACTATAAAGGAAATAATTAAAAAATAATTAACTCCGCTTAGGTTTACTTTCTTCTAATAGTTGTTAAATTCATCAGATTAATGAAGAAAAAGGAACTCTAACAACTGCAAAGGCAGATATAATTTTATTTTATTGCACCAAAGTCTCCATTGAAGAAAAAATTCAAAGGTTAAATTGTAAGCATTTGCTATCAGCCATTTGCACCCGCAATATCAGAAACAATTACATTTCAAGTGAATATAAATGTGGAACGTGAACTTAATGTTCCATTTAAATTGAAATTCTCATCGTTTTCGTCTAGCTTACCCTATAACTAATGCCTTCTCTCGTAGTTAGCTCAGGTTCTTTCCATTCCAGGCTCACTCGCGTTGTTCCAACATTTGAAGTACTCAGACCCCAAGGTGTTCCTGGGTCTTTGAGAAAAATGATAACGACTTCAGTACTAAAGAAAACATTACGTTCCTCAAACGAAAGCGAAGTAAAAGCACGCTCCAATATGACTATATTACGATATGAAATTCTTTCAGTTTCCAAATCTAATTTCTAAAAGTCTGTTCCAAGCCTGTTAACCTCTCCCACAATTTGAATGTGACTGAAGTCGGAAGAGCAGTTCAATGTCGCCACTCTTTCTCTTTCTTCCTCACTTCTTTCATTTTAGCATCTCCAAAGGCCACGTACAAAGGCGTACGGCTTTTCATGGCCCAGCTCGGGTTTTCGCGTAGGGCCCTCACCCGGAGATTTTTTTCGGTGCTTCCCAAAAGGGTGCACAGGACCGTATGGACATAAGATAAAATGACTTATTTTTATCTTTTTACTTAAAGGTTGGGCTTCCCTACGATGTTTTTCTCTGTTCTGATTTCCCGAAGTGTAATCTCTTGTACTGGTTGTACTTCCATCAATTTTAAGGCGCTATTTTGATATATATCGTATTTACTTACCTGTCGTTCTCGGCAGTTTTACAGGTGGACCATATGGGCCAGGACCTACTTTGGTATAAGCTCGAACAGACACTTGGTATTGCGAACAAAGTAATAATCCCCTCAATAAAATGAAAGTGTTTGTTGTATTAAATGTTTTGCTGCTTAGAGGTGATTTTTTCAGTCGTTTTCCCCTTGATAACAATTCTTCTTTGACGTCATACAGAATGATGCCGCCATTACTCTGTTCTCTTGGAAGAGGTGCCCATGAAATGTTTAAGGTGGTCTTGTTCACATGAGCAGAAAACACATCAGCTGGGCCACCATTAAGCTCTGAGAGAGAAAAAAATGAAGTCTAAAGTTAAAAATCATGCCCTAAGAAGTTTTTGCGGTCTAAGAATTTCATTTAAAACCTCTACCAATTTTCTTCGTCCATAACCATCTCCGTTCACCTTATTTGAATTCCAGTGATATTATTTTTTTTTCATCTTTCCTTGTTATGTTTTGTGGTTTTATTCAAATTGAATTGATATATTTACTTCACATCAAGCTGGGAACTGAATTGAATGTAATACAACACCTTAAAGTGTCCGCTTTTCGATAACATCATATGTTATCTACACAGAAGATAAGATACGAAATTTTAATCATTTTATTTTTTAAAAAATACAATATTTTTACTGCTATTTGTCCTTCCTGTGAGAACACAGTTCGGAAAAATCAAAAGCGTATCCTTTGCGAGGTCTGCATGTTATTAACACACGCTCGCTGTTCTGGAGTCGCTAGCTTCAGCGTGAAACAAGTCCGTGCCGACACACCACTGACATAGACATGTGGCCAGTGTTTAGTACCTTTACTGCCTTTCCACACATGCTCTGAGTTGGACACAACCACTGAGACTTTTCATGATAAAAGCTTGCTTGTTTAGGGAATTTCTCGAGAGACACGCCTCTCTTCGGAGGGTGCGAGTTAGGAAGCCGCCAGTACCCTGGACGGAGGAAAGCCAAATACGGTCACTACAACAGCTGAGGAATACATTCAGGAAGGAAGCTCACCAGACTGGCTCTCAGGAGTCCTGGGAACTTTTTCGGGACGTCAAAAAACAAGTTAAAGGTAGCTATTCGTCGGGCTCGCGAGACCTTCACAAGCTCGCGTTATCCTCCAATAAACCGAAGGAGGTGTGGCGTATTATCCACCGCATACTGAAACCTATCCGGCAACCCTTGCGGCAGTATCCTGATAAGTTAAACTCGTTGTTTGCTTGTACTGCCGAGAGAACTGTACATGTTAGTGGTGACTTATCTTCCTGTCTTGAAAAACTAATTGAATCCCTACCTGATGATAGCCCTGCTAATTTCAAGCTCTGAGAAATGCCCCACGGCGAGATCCCGCGCGTGCTGAAATTGTTAAGATCTGATACGTCTACTGGCCCTGACGGTATCCTCATCAAATTCGTTAAAATGGTGGCTGTATCCATTGCTAACCCAATCACAACTATTATCAACAACTGTATCAGGAAGTAGTATTTTCCTAAGGCGTGGAAAAATGCGAGGATCAGTCCAATTCCTGAGGTGGATCAACCGAAGTCTGAGGAACACTTTCGTCCCATTTCAATTCTCCCCACAATATCAAAAGTCTTTGAAAAACTTGTCGCGCTGCAGATGACCACCTTTTGTGAATCTGAATTAGTGCTCCGCGATACAATTTATAGCTTTCGTAAGGGACACTCGACCAATACAGTGCTAATGGGTATGCGGGATGATTTGCTAAGAGCGATGAAAACAGGTGAGGTTACTCTCATGGTGCTGGCCGATTTCTCTAAAGCGCTGGACACAGTCAACTACAACATTCTCATAACTAAGTTATCAACGCTTGGTTTTTCGAAGCTGTTTCTGCGCTGGTTGAATAGCTACTTGAGTGACCGGTCACATTTCGTACAGATCGATAATCGTACATCTGAATCAGTAAACGTACGGTTTGGTGTGCCACAAGGGTCGATCCTCGGCCCAATGTTATTTAACCTCCACGTTTCCGATCTGCAAGATCATCTCCCTTCCTTGATTGGTTCATTTCAATACGCTGACGATACTACAATATACTCCAGCTGTCCAACTCCAGAGCTACAAAGATGTGCGCAAGAACTAAACTCAACACTAAAAATGGTGAACTCCTCGTCTAATGACTCCCATCTAGCACTTAACACGAAAAAGACATGTTGCTGTCCACAAGCCAGATGGGAATCGACCAGCTATTACAATCTCAGATAGTATATTAGAATTTGCAAATGTAAATAAGCTTCTTGGTGTCCATTTCCACCAGCATCTTAATTGGGGTGAGCACGTGCAAGCAACGTGCAAGAACTGTTGCGGAACAATACAAATAATAAGAAAACTTGAGAAGTCTGCCGGTTATAGACTCAGAAAGCACTTAGTGGAGTCACTGGTGCTGTCAAAACTTGGCTATTGTGACAATGTCTATTACCCTTTGCCGGAATTTCAACTAAAAAGTGTACAACGTGTCCAGCTAGTAGCTGCCAGTTTTGTCCTGAGTAGGTATGTAAATAACATCAATGATATTGTTGAGATAGGGTGTTTACCAGTAAGACAGCGAAGAGTTTTCCACGTTCTCAAACTTGTTCACCAGGCTTTGCACCCCCTCAGCTGGCCGTCTTACGTACCACTAGATACAGTTAAACATCTGGGATCTTTGCGGTTAGGAGCAGCAACAAGATAAATTATACCAATGGAGAGGGGCACCTTTCAAGACTGTTGCCAAGTTATTTAATGTCCCTCCGGCAAATATTTGAAACTGTAGCGATTTCAAAGTTTACTGCAGGGAAGTCAATGCCTATCTATTAAATAACATTTTTAAATAGTTTGTAAATTGTATATAGAGTTGTATTACTATTACTAATCTCTGTTACATTTTTAGACAATATCCTTTTATAGTCCGAAATTATAGTTTTTTATATTTTAGATTTCAAACTTTTTTTTGTAATATATCACAGTTTTCATTTTTTATATGTAGTTTTTAACAAGTGAAGAGTCACACTGTTAATAAACCATTAATACTATTATTATTATTATTATTATAATTAAGAGGTTGTATAGGACTAAAATTAAGATACATTGTACTTGTCATTAAGATGAGGAATGCTTTCAGTGTTCCGAAAATCACGACTTTCTTAGACAAATTTAAAAACTCATTTTGAAACATAAGAAATCCTAATGCGATGGCCATCATCTTGATTTGCCATAGTCAACATAACCTATACACTTACAGAAATAATTAGCATGAAATGATTTTGCCGAACATTTTTAATTAATAATCTAACACAAGGCGATAAGTAAAGAAAAATTTAAGAATTAAAAACTGTTCTAAGCAATCAAGTTTCTTACCATCTTCCATTGTTCTTTCCACCACCACAGAACTCTTAGGTCCATCACCATGAGATGTAAAAGCCAACATTAGTATACTCTGTATACTTATCCAGACCATTAATAACTCCTGAAAGGGCTGTTCCACCATTGATAGTGACCACATGTATTGACTCCATAAGCCCTTTCTTTTTGTATAACAATTTGAATCCTGCAATGATTCCATGTCTGGAATACGAGGGAGGTAATTGCCAGGTTGCTGTAATACTTGTGGATGAGGTCGCAGATAAATTCAAGTCACTAGGTGCTTGTGAGGGAACTGAAATTAAGGCAGAATGATAATTGAATAATATTAATAATAACGTTGATGCTCGTAATAATAATAATAATAATAATTAACGTTCTGAATTTTTTGTACATAAAAATCAAATCATATGGTATGTAAGAGATCAAATTCAACCCAACCTTACTCTTTCAGTTAGTGAAAAGTCTTGCATAGTTTTAAAATTACTTATTTATAGGGTCATCGGAAGTGTTGGGAGCAAGTATATGTTATTAATAATGGTAATAGGACTAGGTGGAGTCCAATTTGGTCTGTAATGATACGAGTGATAAACAAATCGGACTAGTCCAATTTGTTGATCACGAGTATGATTACAAACAGAATTGGACGACACAAAGTGTTACAAATAAATCATAACCATTTCAATTTCCAGGAAAAATACTTCTAGAACAAATATCTCTAATGGAGACAATGTCTAAGCTTAAGAATTTCTCTTTTTTGGAAATTCCCCAGTTTTTCTTAGGATAATTGATTGTTGCTATGGTTACTGTGATCAAGTGCGTGATTAGCAGATTCAGCTGAGTGGACTAAGCATGATTGGCTGCTTCAAATGTCCGATTACAGATGTCCAATTACAGCCAGCTGTCCGATTACACCCCCCGATTACAACCGAACAGAATAATTAATGAGAAATGAAGCAGCTTATGAACCAATCACATTTGAGGAAATTTTAATGATTATGATTAATAGGGTCTTAGGAACTACTAAGAGCAAATATGTACTTAATTACATACATGGGAAAAGAATGTATCACAAAATAGATTTAAACAGATCAAATTCCAATTTGTAGGCCCCTTCAGATCAGACTACCAGCATCATTTACCATTGGCACATATCCATTTCCACGATTGGGAGTCATAGGTTAAGGCGTTTTTGTGGAAAATGGCACTTCTTAATTCCGCCTACATAATGTTTGTCTACAGGGAGTGTTCATACAAGTTAAACTATATCTAACAACCAAAGTGGCTAAATACTAAATTGACCACTATGCCAGCCCTAAAATTTCAGAATGTGAAAGCTTGACAACATCAAATAAAAATTAGCATACCTCTAGATATAAGAACTCCATACACCTCTACTCTCAAAGCTTTGTTTCTAACAAACTTGACAGGCTGGAAACGGATGAACCTTGCCCTTGCATTTCTGAGATTGTGTTTGACAATTTCATGTCTTCCAGAATTGCCATGGAAAATCTAAAACAATTAAATAAATATAAATTAATAATTTAAAACTGTAGATCCACTATATTCTTGATAGCCATGGCATATTTGAACAATGTGACTTAAATTTAGCCCTAGCATACTTGTAGCTTTTAAAATCTCCCTATAGTAAACTTTAAGAATATCTTGTGCAGCCCTGTATATAATTTCTGCTGTAGCTATTTTAACCAACCTTATCGACATTGTTTTCCTTGTAGACCACAAAAGTGGAACCATCCAAGGATAGCTGTAACTTGTACTCTGTTGTCCAATCATCAGAAGTTGACCTCCCTTGAGTAGCAACAGCACAAATAAGAAACTCATACCACAGATCAACTTGCAGATAATCATCAGATCTGTCATTTGTGCCGGGTGACCATCCCTTATATGCATTCAGTCGACCTCTAACAGCTTCAAAATTTGTTCTTTCAGTTGATGCTGAGAAGCTGGCATCAGCAAGTGTGTACGTGCTAGCCACACCAATGGCCTGCATTTGGCAAGCTGGTGTAAGTTGTGAGTAAATGATGAACTGATTAAAAAACATATATATACAACACACAAGAAGTAGACAGAAAAACTGCCAATCCATAAATTAATCTGAATTTTTATATGAATCGGTTAAAATAAAATCATATCAGAGCTTCTTAATGATCCAATGGTTTTCATTTATGTAATCAGGTGTATATATTTGACTTTTTTTAGTCTCTAGCACCAGACCTTCACTATATATATGAATTTAACCTGTGTTCAATATTATAACAGTGTTTCTCACTAAGCATAAAATGTTTGAACAAATTATCATTTAAATTGTACCTTTAGCCAGAGTATATAAAGCAGTGACAGAGAGAACTGTCACTTAAACATTTAAGAGTAAAGGCTAGGAATAAGGTTTTATTGAAAGATAAAGTACAGTAATGTTATAACCTATGGCATAAAAGTTTCCGAGTGCATTTTAAACTAGAGCAGAAAGCCCTCTAACTAACTACAAAAAGAGTTAAGAATTGATTTTAAGTAGTGGGCGTCAACTGATATTCTCAATACATATATTCACAGCCACGTTAATTCGTCCCCTCATGAGCTAATTTGGAATTCACGTAATGACCAGCTCCCAGTTGGCTTGTTAGCTCAGTTGGTAGAGCACTGCACCGGTATCGCAAAGGTCGTGGGTTCAAATCCCAACCAGGCTTGCATTTTTTTCGAGCCTTATCTTCATTACTGCCTTATTAGCTTTTATTACTCCTTTCACACTGATTTATTCTCAATACTCTTATAGTAAATACATAGCGAGAAAAAAATTCAGGAAAATGGCGGTAAGATTGAGCCTACAGGGAGTTCAAGTTTACCAAGTAAAAATTACACATACAGGTTCAATCATGATTTATGTAAGATGTATTACCTCTCCTTTCAGAATAAACTTCAACTTCACAAAGTGTAAAGTGTTCAAGGTCAGTTCTTAAGCTTCTTATTGTCACATATCTTCCAAATAATGCAGGACGACAGAAAAAGGATACACCTTTTCCTCTTGGAAGGCTATAACTCTGTCTATCACCACACTTGGGATTGGTAATTCCTCCGTTATTAGATACTGTGCCTATAAAGAATCATGAAGCAATTTAGGCTTTGGCAGGAAAAGTAATCTAGTACTTGTTTACCCAGCTTCTGTCATTGCGCAGTGGCATGAGGGTGTTACATGAAGCCAGAGAGCTAACACTTCAGGAGATCACAAGATGCTGGAGCGTAGGACAATGCTATCCACTGGATAAATCTGATCTATCCAGTGGATAGTGCAGCAAGTTTTTTTTAACTCTTTTCCACTGGTCAGTGATTTATCTGTTGAGTAGCATTATCCGCCCAACAACTGAGCCCTGATTTGCAAGATGAAACCAACAGAAGAGTTGCTAGACCACTTTAGCAGGCGCTTATTGTTCAGCATCCATTTAAATTGTACATTCCTTACTTTAAAAGGGAAATATCAGAAAAAAGTCTTCAACCCTGAAGCACAGTGCAAAACCAAGGCTACAAACTGGACCTTCAGATCCAGAGTCTAGCCTCTATTATTCCATCATATATTCCACAAGAAGAGCAGAAGGAAAGTGATAATTCATTGTGATAATTAATTATCATGATGTATTTGAAAAAAATGTCTGCTAAATGTTTCTCTGCATATAGGCGTAGATAAACGTGAATGAAACCTAGCAGTCAAAGTGCGAAGACAATGCGACACTACCAATATTATGAGACATGATTGCTTGAAACATTTTGAAATTAATGTATAGTGTTACTTTTCAAAAATGATGTAACCTACCAACTCTGATCTCAAAATTATCCTGCCTAAAAAACCATTCATTTTCTTGGTTGACTAGGTATACTTCTGAAACTTGTTCAACTTGTCCCAAGTCAACTCTCCACCAAGGGTTGTATTCTCTGTCGGTGTGGGTACAGCTGTTAGCGTAATAGTCTGTGTTACTGATACCATCTACTGTCCTGCTACTTAAACCACCAAAACTTACACTACTTTGATCTGTTTGCTTTCCAAATGCAAGATTGTCTGAAACAAGACATGCAATTATGTTAATCAGCCTCCTGTCACATCAAAAGTGAGGTCAAAGAAGACTTTGGAACTATCAGTGTCACTAAAGTTAAACAAAAACTTCAAAACTTTGCTACAAATATCTTTAGTCAATACCAATCTCTGTGTATGTACCTCGAAAATAGATTTCCACCTCACAGAGTTCAAGAAATTGTGCCCTTACTGTTGATATCCCTACATATCTACCAGTTGTCAGTGGATTGGTAAAACAAACAGCTGATGCTTTGAAGTTAACAAAACTGTAGAATCCTTGACACTGAGGGTTGTTTACTACTACTGGGTTGTTACCTGATGTTATAAAAAAAATAACAGTTTATCTCAATGTACTGTTTATGGCAAATGTGTGACAAACTACTGTATAAATGTATTTCATTAATGATATAAACTTGTTTTTCCCTCTAAACTGGGTTTTGTTGAGACACAATTTAAAAGGGAAATAAAATTTTACATGCATATAAACGTAAATGTGACTGTATAATTAACCCACTATCAATAAACAGAAGATATATCCATCATTATTCTTTGAAGCAACAAATCATAGTGATTTGTAAAATACACAAAGTATATTGAGGGGTCCAAATATCTCAATTCAGCAGCAACAGAAACATCAAACTGAAAAAGCAACAAATAACTCCCTCTACAACATTTTCCTTAATATTCACATAATATTTTACACACTTGCATGGTAAAACTTCTGCATAGGTTGAGATTGAGCATATAACTATGGTTTTCCAACCTCGCACACTGGCATTGCCTTTGTTTTATTACTTTTAATGTACCCATTTATCTTAAGCTTATCTCATACTAATTACATGAAAAGTATAGTGCCTGCTCACCCAGAGTAATATTATAATTTTTGCTTCTGGCCATCAGACTAGTAATTGATGAAAATCTGTTGACTATGAATATGTCAGAGACTGGAACCTTATCTGAACCCAGATCAACTCTCCACCAGCTTGGATAGCTTGACTGAGTATGTGCACAGCTTCCATTTCTAAATTCAGTATCAGAATTACCATCTACTGCTTTCTCTGACACACCTGACACACCCAACTGAGTATTGTTAAATGTTGAAGACTGAAGGGTGGCTTTCCCAAGGGCAAAATTCTCTGTGTAAGGACAGCAAAGAAATAAATATCAACTCGGTTGATACACCTCCAATGTTAACGTCGTGTATTTTGCAAACATTTATATCTCCCTGTTAAAGATGAACTAATAAAACTAACCCAAGAAAGACAAGAAAGGGCACATACATGTAAACGTGCCCGTGTGGATTGAAATAGATGGACCAAAGTTCTCACAATTGTTAGATAAAAGAGAATAGGATGAACAGATTTGTGAGCAGCCTGCGCCAATGTAAAAACCAATATCCGTCATTGGATACTTTTCACTATGAAACTTTCTATACAATGTAATGATCTCCCTATTTTAGTTTGGCTCTGGAGTTAGTATGAATAATCATTTTCAAAAGGTAAGTTTTCACTTGGTGTCATTTCGTATTTTAGGTTATTTATGCACAATCTAATGATTATTTTTTTAATTTAGCTATTCATTGAGTAGAATGTAATTAATAAAAATGATAATAACTTGGTTTTTGCTTGACACCAAACACTTCCATTCTCATACACACAGCACCATAGTATGCATTTGGCAAGACTCGCAGGTGGTGTGCTTCAACACTTTCATAAAGAACATGCTTCACCTCTGAAGCTCTGTCACTATTTCCCTGAAAGGTCTGAAATCAAAACCATCAGCTAAAAATTTAAAGGTGTACATCTATTTCCAGAAAAAAAAATGTAAATATAAATAATAACAATCTTCTGATAGTTCTAAGCGTCAAGCATCTTGGTTTTTTTCTCATCTTTGTGCCCCCCACTTCCTCCTTTACACAATTAAATTAGGTTTTAGCAAGTCTAATGGCATTCAGTTTTGAGGGGTGGCGTGCGAACAAAAACTTTTCCCTGTATTTTTCCAAGAAAAACAGCTTAAACAATTTTCTCCATTAATTTAACGTATCTTCACTCTGGAGGAAGTGTCAAACAAACATGCAGTCGAATTTTATTTTATTTTGCAGACAACTTGAAATATCATTAAAAGCCCAGTGACATGGTCTTTGACATGGTACCTTAATTTGTCCGCCTTCTCTGTAGACCATCCAAGTTTTCCCATCATTGGAGAATTGAAGTGTATAGTTTTTCACCCAATGATCTGCTTGAGAATGACCTTGAGTGGACACAGCACAGATAATATAAAGTGTCTGTAGATCAACCTGTAGATATGGGTTAGTATCACTTGGTCATGCACACCATGATGATCCTGATGTGTAGTTTAGTCGACCATTCTTGGCAGCACTTAGTTCAGATGTAGCTGCTATTTTATTGTCTGGAATTGCTCCATTTTCCATTCCCAGATCCAGACCAATGCAATCAGCTAAAAGCAGAGAAAATTAAGTACTTTGCTCATGAGATACTGCGTAATCTTAGAGCATTTATTATAGCATAAGCAGTGATTATAATCATTATTATTTTCATTATTATTTCTGTAATTGTCATGTATCTAATTATTTCACTATTACTATTGATAACAATATGGAAATAAGTATCAGAGCTTCCAGCGGTTAAGATTTTTGGAAAATAAAACACCTGGACTACCGTAGGAAGAAAGAATAACAACTCGATTATCGAGAAGCAATATGGCTGCAACGCCCCACTCGTCCAATTGGCTAACTATTTACGCTTGAAGATGCTATATCTGAATTTTCCCGCTACATAGAGAACAATTTTTAAGTCCTAATATAATATAAAAAGGTGTTATATGGGAAACAACTGGTTTTTCATCTATTGACTGAGTTAAGCCAAGAGGGAAAAATGATACAATCTTGAATCTGAACGAGAAAAAATTGGACTCTCAACGAAGAAGCGAAGAAGAAAAACGAGTGAGATAAAACACGTGTGATCAACGCCCGAAAATATGAAGAACACCATACATTTGTCATATCTACGTCTTGTTTAAGGCCACGATCCTTTTGCACAACGCCATGAATCAGCGCTGCCTCTTTTTCTTTGGCTCTGATTGGCGTTAAAATTATGTGTGTTTCTCCGCAAACGCTAATTTGCGCCAGAGATCCATGGCACCTTTTAAATATATATACCTTCGCTGAAACACCAATATCGTGAACATTAGTACCTGGAACGTGAATTTCTACGAACACAAGCTTATTTTAAACAATAACGAAAAGAACACTGAAATGTTAATGTAACTCAATGTGATAACAAATGTTTGTCTGAAACTTTTAAGAAAAGTAGAAAAGAATAACTGGTACTGGACTGGTAACGAATTAACGGGTGATGACGTAGAAAACTGTTAAAACTTTCAGTTGACACTTACAAATCTCTCACATCTCTTCTAATTTTGTATCAGTCGGCGTTGGTAAATGCTTGACATAATGTTCGATAGCAATGTCTACCTACCTTCAGCAAGCTCTATCGAGAGTTTTGAGTTCAACCTTACGAAGGAGAACCGCGTGCATTAAACGAAGATTTCGACGAAGACTGACTAAGACGGTTTCTCGCCCGCGGTGTTCGGGTTAAGATTAGCGTAAAAAACTTTCGTTACTGAATGTTAGTTTTTTACGTTTGTGTTTTGTTTTCTATGGCGAAATCTTTTTTAAGAATAGGTGGCTGTGTTCGTTTCTTGTACCATAATATTTTAATCATTCGCACTAAGTGCGGCGAAGGTTCCCCTTGCTCAGTGTTCTAGAGTTTCGTTGCTGTAGAGAATCTCTCTAAGTAAACCAAAAGCTAACTTTTGACGAAAGAATCAGCTGTATCACGAGGCACGATGATTTTTTCGCCGAGAAGCATCGGGAAGTTTCACTGCAAGTTGCTCCTTTCCTCAGAGAATAAGAATTTTAATAGAGAACAACTTCTTTAATTTAAGTGCAGCATTGCCATATGACCCACTTCGCTCAACGGCAAACAACTGACATCAGTATATATTGTAAATGAATATTTCGTATGCATCGACTTCATACGATTCGAAGAGACCATGAGCTCTGAACTATTCTTGTCATAAAATTGTGACAAAAAAATAAGTTTTCTTCTGGAAGCTGAGCTGAGTCCCTCATACAAGGCTAACCAGAGGGGAAAAAACCTGCCTTGTTCCTTATCAATTAAAACTTCAAGTTATTTGAACATTCGAGAAACAGATGATATATCTACCTGTTCGAATACGTCCGACATTGCAAGAGCAATATTTATACCCGAAAAACAACATTCCGTGTTGACACGGAATTTTGTACATACATGCCATTGATAGGCCTGGAAGAGAACATGAATGTCTATTGACCTCAATAAATTGTGCGATGAGCAACTTAAATCATAACTATACGCTGTACTACTTTGGTTTAATAGCTGGAACATATTTGTAAAACCGATCAAGCGGTAAGGATGACTGAGTACCTGTTTATCTTTCGGTAGAATTCGCATCAGACATAATAGATATCAACAACTCAACAGAAATATATGAACGAGTATTTATCACGAGAAATGTGATACTGCATAACAATTCCAGTTGAGATTGTCCTCGAGAGGAATGAGCCGTATTGTAGCAAGAAGCAACAATTATAAAGACATATCTGGTTCTTTTTTATTCTTTTATAAACGCGATATGAATCTTTGAAGCCTGAAAACTTCCTTAGATCGAACTACCAGATATAACCTAGAAACATTTTACCCATGTTTTCTTGTGCTTACCTGAAGCCAAAGGAAAAAGAAAAATGAAGAAAACTAGACAGAGACATATCGTAGAATGCAGCTCCGACATGTTAGGGTATCTTCTGATCAGTTCATATGGAAAGTTGCTTGCAGTATTGTTGTGGCCTATGTTTTTCGTATCATACACAACGCATAATCCGGATGTTATTATACTTGCTGATTCACTGTGATACTGGCTTAAACGAAACTTAAGGTTCAATAGTCACATATTTTATATAACCTAGCTTCCCATCCATATGTAATGTTTTGTAGATTATTACGTCTTTTTGTGAGAAATCGTAGTGGTGAAGGTAAAGTTGATCTTGTAATAAAGGAGTACTTTTTACTTATTTTATTCAAACGAAAAGAATCTTGCAAGAAACTCATTTCGTATCCGTTTCGCTTCACTTTTAAGTATTCCACACCAGCATTGATAACCGCGGTAAATTTCAGAATAAAACTGAATGCAGTTGGCTTAAGAAATGCCACCAAAATAAAACGTTTATCCTACAAGATATAAATTTAGAAAAATTATTGAATGAGTGAATAGAGGCAAAGAGCAAAAGGTGGATATGTAACCTCTGGAACCTTTTCCCGGAGTATTGAGTGACCATTGCTAATTTCCTGTTTTACTTAGAAATTTTACTCGGGAAACTGGCGCTCGGGTAGCCAAAGTTAACCTATTTTCGTTCGAAGGCCATTTTAAACGCGAAATCCTCTTCAGTATTGTAGGTGAGCCATGTAGTACATCGAGGTCCATAAAAGGTAAGAAGATAAGACAACTGAAGAAATTTTAGTCTGTCAACGTAAACAGTGTTCACGCATGTCCCATTCTTTAAAGTTGCTACCTTAATTTCTCATCCTTGTCCTCCTCCAAGAATCAAGGATTCTGATGAATTGCGTGAGGTGTTTTAAGTGAGTGGGGATTCATTTATCGTTTTCCTAAGTGCCTTATCTTCTTCTCACCCAGGCATTCCAAGAACGACTTCCGCTTCCCCTTGGTGAGCATCGTTGGTGTATAACCCAATTTATTTCTACTTCTGTTATTGTTCGACTCCCGTTATCCATTATTACATCACATATATCTGTAACAAATATGAATTGAAGACTTTAATCTGAGTATTCCATCTGCAAAGAACATAAAATGGCATTTAATTTCCATTAACGTGATTAAAACGAACTTGCTTAATTTTGCATTCTCCCACTTAATTTCTCTCCTAGTGTAATTTACTTTAATATTTCATGAGGTGCCCAATAATCCTGTTCATAATGTTTTCACTATTCTTGCATAATCAACAACCATTTTTGAAAGAATTTTTATATGAGCCTTTTGATAAGAGTGTTTAGTTTGGGAAGATAAACTAAATGTATTACGTTTTCACCTAAATGTTATCGTGTTCGTATCAATCGTCATTAAAGATTGGAACGTGTCAATCAGCTATGTTCTGATACTTTGAAAGTTCAAGTTATCAAGGAGAGTTTGAGCCAAGGTAAAGTAAACTTATTTCGAGAAGAGTTAGCTAATGCTTAATGAATGAAAAAATTGGGTCAAATCCGCGGAAAATGGCATTTTGTTGGAGTTAGTGGGGAATTCGAGTCAACCGAGTTCGAATTGGTGGGGTTCTTCGGTACTTAATACTTTTGGGTATCGCTAAGTGCATGCTTGTTGTCACGTTACCTTTGTGTTACAATGGTCGTTACGTAATGTATTTAATGCCAGCATTTTCATAGACGTGAACGTGAAAAATTATCATTTGAGTTCAACTTCAACGAAGATATACCAATTTGTGCATAACTAAACTCGTTGTCGTATCTTACATTCAACTCTGCATGTCGACCGGTTTCAATTCACATCTTCGAGCTCGTAACACAAAGATGAACAGCCGTTGTAAAACGTTGACAAGCAGACGTTTCAAGCGTCGAAGTATCAGCTTTCTGTATTCAAGATCATGGAAAAAGAGATTGTATCATTCTGCGGAGAAACAGCTTTCAAAGATCAAACTAAGGTACGTCGTCCCACATTGAATAGATGTTGTACTGGTTCGGTCAGTCCCATGCCTTTATTACACTTTGTCTGCTTTTGTATGCAACTTTATTTGTAGAAATGATCAAATGATTTGGAGAGCAGTTTGGAAGAGATAAGAACCAAAAATTACTGCAATCTCGCTGCGAGAGGAGGCAATTTGTAGTCTTTGCAAAATTCACCTGCAGAGAGTGCACTGGATTGATTCTCTGCGCTATACTACATCACATTGCAGAACAAAATATAACTAATATCAAAGATAATTAAAAAAGGACTAAATATAGACGACTAATTAGATGCATTTACCATCTTTCAACATAATACGTGCGAGAGTATTTAAACAAAACACAAAGGCAGCACCCAACAATCAAGTTAAACAAGAAATAATTCTAGTAGAGGAAAAATGATACTAAACACTGAGCAAGATAACAAGGATATAAAGCTTGTGTAAAATGATGCTTAGTGGGTGTTTTCCTAATAAGTCGAGGAATGCTATTTCTAAATTGCACCTATCACGGAAAAATCCTTATGTCACTAGTTAATGATGTAGATTTCATTTATTTTAACTTTCTGCGGTAAGTTTCGGCTTTTCGCTTTGTTTGTGATTCACTGACCTGTGATATGACATTTAAGTACAGAAGACGTCAGACATGATAATTATCAATGTGAGACGCAATAAATAGTATCAGTGCTAAACACAAAGCCGACAAGAATCATTTCGTTCTCTATGAAATATCTACCTTAATATTGTTATTTGTCACTCTTAAATTTCCAAGTTTGTGAAGTTTTCTCGTGAAATAATTTTCCACCATTTTCCAGTCCAAGTTTCCGCTTCAGCTCCTTGACATTTTCTAACAGTCCAAACTTTGGTTCCATAACGTTTCCGCACTAGAGTGTGTGGGAATGTTTAGGTGTTATCATTTTTCGGTGCAGGTTTTTCGTTAGTATTTTAAAACTTGTATGAAGTGCCTTTGAATTTTTTCTTTAATGATGCAAACAAACGGCCACTTGTAAAAATGATTACAATTCATAAATTTAAGACTTCCTGTCTCAAAGAAGGGGTTTTACCTGAGGGGTGGTTTTGAAGTTAATTGAGCTCAAGGTTCTTTCTTGTTCAGATTAATGGGTAAAAGCCAGCATGAAACTTCTAGATTTCAGGCGACATATCCATCTGGCCTTCTTAGTTTTTCTTCTTCCCATGAGTGTGGCCTCAGGTGAGAACTAAAAAAATAACTTGAAATAGTTTAGAATTTGCGCTTGCGATTATCCAA